ATGAATTCCTTCCTTTGTGTCCAACCATTTGTCACTAAGATGGAATGAACCTACAGTCTATTATTACATAATTAAATATATATATATATATATATTATTAAACTATACAAACACACACATATATATTAAATATTAAATATTAAAAAATATCATTACTATTCTTAAATACTTCAATTTTATTCTTTTAATTTATAAAATTTCAAATTATATTATTTATTTTGTTTAAAGTAAACTATAAATATAATTGATACAATATCATTTGTATTATTTATTTTAATTTTTTTTACTTCTTGAGGTTGTTATATTATTTATTTTAATATTCATATTTATAATTATAATATAAAAAATATCTAAGAATAAATAGTAAAAATAATAATGATTATATATTAGTTTATAATTATTTATGTTTTTAAACTAGCATCAAGCTTTAAAGTTATTGGCGTTAAATGTAGAATTTGAATTGAAAAATTAGATTAGATGAAATATCATTCTATGAATGAATAAATTTAAGTATCACATGGCTAATTATTATAAACAAATAGTGTTATTGACTTCTACATTGATCCGATGGCTTATGCTTTTTCTCTCTTCTTTTTTATCTTGAACATTTAATATTTTTCACTTATTATTTAAAATTTAAAATTTAATTTTTTAGTTATTAATTAGTCAAAAAATATATATTAAAAATTTCATGCTTATTTTGGCCATTAAACATCTCAACTAGCTTTTGAATAAAATTATTCAAACAAATTTTAATTTATCTAATTGATTTCTAAAAAAAAAACATATCCAAACATAAATCATATTTCATTTACTCACTTTCTTCCACCCTTAGTTTGGTAGCTGTAAAATTTTTAATCCAAACATACACGTAAAATAATATAGTTTGGCTTAATTTTTACTCTAGCTCATTAACATTAAATAATATCTTAACCTTATCTTAAAGTTACATTTTAACCACATAATATATTAAATAAAAACTCATTATGTTATTTTATATCTTCATTATAAAATTACAATAATACAACAAAATTAATGTCTTAAAATGTTTAAATATTAGATAAATAAAAATAAAAGATTATGATGATAATACAAAATCAAACTTTCAGCAGCAACATACAAAGTTGCCACTAAAAGTCTCATTTTTAGCAGTGATACTAAAAAGTTATTGCTGAAACTTATAACATAAGTTTTTTTTAAAAAAATTATGACATATTTTAAAATATGTTGACAATTAGCGGTAACTTTTTAGAGTAGCCACTAATTGTCAACTTTCAGTAGCGACTTATATTTCATCGTTAAAACTTAGACTTTCAGCGATGACATACACTTGTTGCTGCTAAAAGTTTAACAATTAGCGATAACTATATCTTGTCACTGCAGAAAGTCGCTATTTTAGCGGCAATTTCAAATGTTACCGCTGAAGGTCTAAGTTTCAATGGTGACTTTTACTATGGCCACAAATTGTTCATTTTAAGCGAAAACTTTTTAGAGTTGTTGTTAAAAGTCGCTGCTGAAAATTATTTTTTTTGTAGTGAAAGGATGTACATTACTAGATTTAATATTTGTTAAGTTGCCCAAATATGAATGAATTTAAATCAATATAAGCCTTGTATAATAAAGAATAATGACATATAAACTTGATCTTTTAGGTTTGAGTCGAGATATGTCATTTGACTACTCTTGCTCATTTTCTCTCTCCCATATTTTTGGGCGGTATCTCCTTATACTTAACAAGTGATATTAGAATTATGTTTTGCCTTAGACCTAAAAAGCTGTAGCATATGTTTGAAGCACAAAATGATATTAGGCTTGAATGCAAAAAGAACTTATATCCACCACACTGTCTAAAGTCCAATATTACTTTCCAAAATCTTAAAGCTTTAGGTCTATGGGTGTTTCGATCTCCACTTGTATACCTGTGATTTTTAGCCTAAACCTACCCTATCTGAGTCTTCCTCTCATATTAACTTACTCTGAACATGCAAGTAATATTCAATTATAATTGAACCATCTTTCATGCACTGATAAGCTCCGTAACTAACTAAACAGTTAGTCCAACCTAGCTTTTTTTGAATTGACAAATCAAAGTACAAATGACCTTTGGGTCCATATATACCATGTTTATAGAAATAGGAGATTCGATATTAATTTGGCACCCTGAGGTTTTCACTAGAATACTAACATTGAGCACCAATCAAGCAGCTCTTGCGAGTTTCACTGGACTACGTACTTTCTTTAGAATGAGATGCATCCAGTTTAGTGCTAAGTGATAAATACAAATATAAAGAATGTACGTAACATGAACGTTTGATCTTTCGATGGCCAAAAATAATTTAAAAGAAAACAAGTCATCTTTGAGTTCTCGTAGTACAGGAGATTCCGCCTCGAATCAAATCTCTTGAATAAAATAGCGAATTTCAACATAAAATAAACATACTTTAATATCAAAGTAACGCAATACACAAACTTTGACTTGGTATAATTTAGTTTATATAGTTTTGACTAAGTTAAAACTTAGTTCCTAAGTTTTAACTTATTGAAACCTAGTCCCTTTAGTTTTAACATATAATTTAAAATATTAATCGCTAATTTTAGTCCTTATAATTTTATTTTCTGAAATATAAGAACTAATATTTTAAATGATACTCATTCTGTCCCAAATTGTAAGATATTTCTTGGGGTAAATTTGCTGTTTCAAAATATAAGATACTTTAAAAAAAATTAAGATTTTATTAAATATTCTTATTTTAATATTACCCTTTTTCTTTCTCAATTAATACTAATTAAGCTTATATTTAAGATTATTAAATGAAGGATAGTTTTAAAATTTCATACTTTTATTTTTAAAAAATAAGGTTGTTAAATATATTTAATGAAGTTTATTGATATGTGATATTTTATTTAAAAATGTGTTATAGTTTGGGACAAATGAAATATTAAAATTATAAGAATTGAATTACATTAAATCAAAATTTATGGACTGAGTTGTATCCAATTCAAAACTATAAGAACTAAGTTATAAAAACTTAAAGGTCAATGATTAAGTTTTAACAAGAGTTTAAATTATAAGGATTGAATGATTATTTTTCCTATCTTATTTACACACTTCGGTCCATGTATAATATAATAATATACAACATTTTCAACACACAAATATAAACATTAACGTAGAGTAGACGTAATTTGCATTGAAATTCATGAATTTCGTCGTACATTAAAACTTCACAGCATATCATGCATGATTGCATGCCCATTCCATTATTGTTTCAAGAACCAGATCTGACGGTAGGACTGATTGCACCGTTGATAGGAGTCTTTAATGGCTTGGTTTGAACAAAAAATTAAGAAAACCGAACTAGTCTAAATATAATATAGAAATACAAAATTTACATAAAACAAAAAAAAAAAGATTAGACTCTACTAAAAGAAAACTTCATTTTTGGACCCTTTATATATATTTGTATAATATATGACTTGAGATATTTTAAAATGATGTTGACAATAATAGGTATAAATATGAATATCTTTGAGCCAAGTTGTACTTAATTTAACTAAGATTCTTCTATATTTGATAAGTTATAAAATTATAATTTATAATATTATTGATTTATGATCATATTATTTTATTTTATTATTAACAACTAAACATATTGTAAATTTATTCTAGCATAATTTTATAGCCAAGCAGTTAGACTATAAAAGTACAAGACTCGCTATAGTTTATGGTTTAACAGCCTGTACAACTTTTAAAACATTACATACCATCCTTTCTATTTTATTTTTAATTAGTTTTAAGGAAAAATAACACAGATAGGTGAAATTTATAATTCAAGCATATCTAATCCTTGAGTAAATATTACCGAAATAAATCTCATGCGATATGTATTTTTCTCTTTTAAAATTGATCATAAAAAGTAGGGCAAAAAATAAACACCACCCAAACTCTTTTGAGAAAAAATCCAAAGCATATATAAACACATACAGCGGTTCCAGCTTGTCATGACTGCGAATCTGCGATTTCAATTTTCATCCAATGGGCGATCACGAGAACTTGTCTAATCAATCAATTTTCAATTATTTAGTTACAAAATGATTAAATACATAATTTATTTAATTCTATTTCAAATTTTAATTTGGTCCCTATACTTGAAAAGAAGACTGCGCTGCCTATATAATTTCATCCTATTACTGTTTTTTTATATACAATTTCATCCTATTATTTATTCATTTAAAACATAAGGTCAAACTAAGAGCTCATTGTTTCAATGTCACCGTTTATTCATAATTTTTTAAATAAGTGTTCATAATTTTTTAAAAAAGAAAAAGAAAAAGAAAGAAAGTCACAGTGGACACTTAGTTAAACTAGTTAGGAAGTTGATCCATTTTAGCCAAAAGTCTTTTCAGTTGGAGCCCTAAATTTATAGTGATGATTAAATTTTCAATAAAAGGTATACCTCCCAATAAGTGCCTGCAATGTGCCAACCATATTAGTCCAGGTCAAAAAACCTGGGATACCGAAGCAATTTTTTTAAAATAAAAACAACAAAAGAAAGGCACAATGTCAATCTTCGAACTCAATAATTCAGATTAAATATTTTATAAAATTATCAAGACGTAAATCATATTAAATATAATAAAAAATTAAAAATTCAATGACACTTTAGTATTATTTGACACCGGATATTTCTGTTAACCAATAGTCACTGGATCAATCTATAATTGATAATGATACAACTCATATTTTTTATCTTTTGAAATGTAATGATCTCATTGCTGATTTGTAAATTCTTTGGTAATTACTTTCATTCACCAAGCAGGTCCAAAATCTAATGAGACGAAAACCTAGCCGACTCGATTATAATTATTTGAAAATAAAGGTGGAAACCAGAGACAGAGAGAGAGAGAGAGAGAGAGAGAGAGAGAGAGAGAGAGAGAGAGAGAGAGAGAGAGAGAGAGAGAGAGAGAGAGATCCTCCCTATAAAACCCGTACCATATCACATAAACTAAGCACCAATCAAAAGCCAAGTTTCACAAAAATCCAAATACATAGAAACTTGAAGAAACATGGCTTCCAAATCTGCCCTTCTCCTCTGTCTCAACCTCCTCTTCTTCACGGTGGTAACCTCCACCTACGTCCCCTGCCCACCACCGCCACGTCATCATCATCCCAAAAGCCCCAAACACTCACCACCAAAGACCCCATCATACCCACCAGCACCACCAAAGCAGCCAAGTTGCCCTACCGACGCCGTTAAGTTGGGTGTTTGCGCCGACGTGTTGGGTCTGATCAACGTTCAGCTGGGGAAGCCACCAAAGACCCCTTGCTGTTCCCTCATCCAAGGTCTTGCCGACCTCGAGGCCGCCGTTTGCCTCTGCACTGCCCTCAAAGCCAATGTGTTAGGCATCAACCTTAACATCCCCATCAACTTGAGCTTGATTCTCAACTACTGTGGAAAAGGCGTCCCCAAAGGGTTTCAGTGCGCTTGATGATGATTAGTTAAGTAGATCTATGCATGAACGTACATCGGTACACTATCTCCATTAATGTACTGATGTACTTCTTTTGTTTTGTTTTCTTTTGGATCATATCGTGAAGTTCTATAGTTATTGTTGTGTTTTTATTTTGTGTTTGTAATCTTGTTCTGTAGCCTTGTTTTGTTTTTCATTTTTGATATATTATTGTATTGCTCTGACGGGGTTGGAAGGCTCCTCATCTTCCTCCTCATTTCCATTGTGTAATCTCTGGAATACTTGGTGAAAATTAAATCGTATCAATAAGTTTAATTTTACTGGGTATAGTGATCCATGGTTCCCCTCTGTGTATTAATTAATATTTCCCCCCATATTTTTATTAAATGTATCAATAATTACACCAAATAAGCCCTTTTTTTGGATCTAGCGAAAAGAACAGTAGTTCCTTATAATATTATGAATCAAGGTTAATAACTTTTGGAGGAGATTTAGCATCTCAAAATATGAAACACTTTGAGAAAATTAAGATTTCATTAAATAGGCTTGTTTCAATACTATCCTTTCTCTCTCTATAATTAATCTTCTCTTTTTTTAATATATTAAATGATGAGTATTTTTAAAATTTTATATTTTCGTTTTAAAAAAAAGGTTATTAGATGTATTTAATGAGATTTATTAATATATGAAAGTTTTGTCCAAAGGTATTGTATAATTTGGGGTGGAGGAAATGATGTCAAGGCTTCGTACACAGTAAGTTCAATTAATCAACACTTTTTAGATTTGTAAATGGACAAAATTTGAGGAGTAATATTGAAAAATTGGTAATCTAATGATATTTTAGGGCAAAACCATAAATTTGTATCTGACTATTAATTAATTAATCAAAGGACTCAGAACTATTAATAATTAATTAAGGACTCAGATATGCAGATTTTTTACGGCTCCGTGCCTTAGCGTCGAGTCCTTTTCTTAACTTAACTGCCTCACAAGTCACAATCTTCGAACTCGGACCACGTCTCTATAGTTTTGGGGAAGCCTAAAACACAATATTTGTAGTCTTTTTGCTTTTTTCTTTTTTGATTAGACTTTGAGGAAAAATATATAAATATATGAGACTTCGTTTGTTTTCGATTTTGTTCTGCTTTTGAATCCCTAATGGTCGTTACCCGTTGTCGAGGAATATAGAAAAAAGTCAAATGGAATAAAATGTGCTAGTTTTTTTTTTTAACCTTAATGAACTAGCCAAGAAATAAACCCTTATTTACTGAAATTTGTTTTGGATGTGTTATATTTCAATTTTACTAAATAAAATGAGTTAAAAAATTTACGACGAAAGTAGTACTTAATAACAGCTCCTTCCTGTTTCTTTTGGGGAAAATTCAAGTGTCTGGAATTTTAAAGATACTTTCCATTAGTTAATCCGATTTCCGAAGAATATACATATCGGATGCATATACCCATGCATATGTAATGATTATAGAAATAAATTAAGTGAGATAAGTGCATTATAACTTTGGCCAAAAGTGGGATACTCCCCCCTCCCCTTTTTATATTCTTTGAGAAACTACTATTTTTTATTTATTTTTTATATAATAAAAATTATTTATTTTAATAAATATTTATTACATATTTTTTCAATTATCTCTGATAATTTACATTAATAAAAAATAATTAATGTATGTTTATGTTGATTAACATAGGGTATTTTATTTTTTTTTATTTTCAAAAATAATTATTATAATTAGTTGACTTTGTAAACTGTGTGATATCATTTTTCTCATATATATAGAAATAGAGCGAGTATTTCTTAGTTGGAGTTAATTAGTTTTAGCGGATTTGAATTTTATGAACGTCTCAAATTCTCTAATTTAGTGAGTGTTCATATTAAATTTTATAACACTTAAAAATTTCTGCTTGACGAAAAATAAATAAAATGATAAAGTAAATGGTGATTTTGTGAGAATAAATTTCAATCATTAATTTCTCTGTAGCCATATTTGCCACACAAAAAATTCTCTATAGCCATATAAATAGTCGGATTAAGGTTTATGGCATAACATATATAGTAAAAAGTAGAGCTGTGATTATTTGATTGAATTGATGATCTCTATAATATCATATAAGACACTCAAGAAGTAATTTAGAACATTCACTGAATTCAAATCCACTTTTAGATTGGTTAAACCAATACTGGTTAGATGATAACATTACATATATGTACAAAAACTAATAAAATTGGATGAGATGATATAAAAATGGTTGGAATATAATTTAATTAATTAGGGTAAAGGGGAAAAATACATGTAAAATGGCTAGCTAAGAACACTTAATATTTTAAAATGAGAAAAAAGATAAAAATACTCATAATGTTACATGAATGAGTGCAAAAGTAATAAAACCGTTAACTTTGACATGACGCCATGAACTTTGAACATGTCAATTTTTGCTATTGTGGACCAATAAAAGGGCAAAAATATTTACAAAGTCATCAGTTAAAAGTAAAAATATCCATAATGTTATTCGAGTTAGTGCAAAAGTAACAAATTCATCAAATCTCTCATAGGTGACACCTAAGCAAAAGTTGTCTTTTTTTCCTTTGATGTAGACAAAAAATATTTTCAAATGAATTTTTATAAATATTGATCGATCATCATATGAGTATCCATTATGCTACTTGAATATGTGCAACAGTGACTAATCCATCAAAATTCATGCTACATGATTTCTTTCCATTGCCACATATCTCACCCCTTCCTTCCTCCCTCTTTACTTCTTTTTTTTTTGTCTATAAACCCTGAGATTTAACATAGTGAGACAAGTTGTACACAATCAAAAATTGAGACTGAGCACACCTCCTATTTGCCCTATCTTAAGAATATTGTCAAAACCTTAAACAATTTCATTCATTATAAGTTTAAAATTTTCAAATGATTTTCACCATTACTGCAAAAAAAAATAAACAATATAATTTGATATTTAGTCAAAATGATATTTTTTCATATGATATTTGTATAATGATTGATTAACCTCCTGAGAATTTCATCTAAAAATATTTTTTGTTCATGTCAGTGAAAAAATGGTCAACTCCTGTTTAGGTGTCAGCTAAACGATCAACATTTAAGGGATTTGATAATTGGTCACTTTTATACAAAATTTGACAACGTTATAGATATTTTTGCTTTTGGCCAATGATTTTATGGTATTTTTGCCCCTTTATTATTCCACATCAACAAATACTAACACATGACATACACAATCAGCATTTGACAGTCAAAGTTAACGATATTATATCAAAGTTAACAGTTTGATCACTTTTGTACTTATACATATAACATTATGGATATTTTACTATTTTTGCCCTTTTTCTCACTTCATGACATTGGGCGCCCTTAGCTGACTATTTTAGGGATATTTTTACTCCTTTACCCTATTAATTAAACTAGAGGGAACCTAAATATTTATATAAATATATCTAAAAATAAGAAAGATAAATCAATAGAAACATCTCCTCAACTCTGTAAACACTTTGAAAATTAAGACTATTAAAATTCAAAATTTTATTCTTTGGCCAAAGAAAGTCAAAATTTATCCCACAATAAACAATGTTACATTAATTAAATGGAATGAATGGACAATTCAATAATATCCAGCAATTGTCACTACTCACTTCGGGAATATACGTGTCGTTAATATGACTTTGCATGAGAAGCTACCAACCACGTGCCAAAAGTTGCTGCCATGAATCACCCCTAGGCAAAAGCATGAATGAGTGAGGACGGACTCTGTACTCCTTGATTCTGGCTATGGACAACGCATGTCGACGTGGCTATTAACCTTTTGAGGAAACCCTAAGATCTCTTCAATTATTATTACAAGTTCTTCTTAATTGATGGCCTGTGATCGGTGCTCTAAACACATGGTTAAGTATTCTGACACAGGAGGTAGAATTGTTTTATAATATAGATGCGAAAAAAGGCAGGTCTAATTTCTCAAAACGAATTCGAATATTGCAATAAAAGAGAAGAAAACGAAGAGATGATTACAGTGGCGTGCAATCTCTGTGACAACTGTAAATTTGGTTTCATGGATTGTACTGAACTAGTCACGGATCGAGTCTCTCTCGAATTCATACAACGATCAACAAAAATCCAAACTCTCCAATCATCCCTATCTCTATCTCAGTCTCTCTTTATCCATAGAAATTTAACGATGTTTCTTTCTATACATATATTAGTTGACATGTGTTACTAAATTAGATAAAACCCTAATAAGGTCTTTTATGGCTTAATTAATAACAGTCTCAGTTGATTAATCTTTCTCTACTTTATATATATGACATTTGCATTGCAACTAAGGTAAACAAAAACCTAGGATAACTACGGATCCGAAGTCCAAAGTCATGTCTTCAAAAGCAACAGTAATGTTGTTCATCTTCATGATTTTAACATTGAGTGCTCTTCCACCACCTACACATGCTTGTGGTGGTGATCCTTGTCACCGACCGGTTCACCCAAAGACCCCACGTCATAAACCCCCGCATCACGGCGGGCACCCGAAATTGTCGCCTCCACAGCCGCCTGTAATTGTCCCGCCGATCATTGTCACGCCGCCACCGATATCCCCACCGGTTATAGTCTACCCCCCGCCAACTGCACCTTCCCCACCGTACTGGGGTGTTCCTCCTCCACAAGTGAGGTGTCCCATTGATGCCTTAAAACTAGGGCTGTGTTTGGATGTGCTTCAAGGGCTTGTGCATGTGGGAATAGGGAACCCAATTGAGAATATATGCTGTCCAGTGATCCAAGGATTGCTTGAACTTGAAGCAGCCATATGTCTTTGCACTGTTATCAGACTTAAGCTTCTGAATCTCAACATATACCTTCCGCTTGCTCTTCAGGTCCTTGCAACTTGTGGCTTGACTCCTCCTCCTGGTTTTGTTTGTCCACCATTATTATAACTGAAGCATGCATGTATGGGTAAGCAAGTTAAGGACTAGTTCTCAACTGTTAAATCATTTCAAAAGTTATGCTTAATATAAAGTACTTTACTATCATACTTGAATCTAAAGTATGATTTAATAGTTGAGAGCTGAAGCTAGTTCTCATAGATCCGAAGAAATGACATTTCTCTCTACTTTTATGTTGGCTTTGATGCGATCTATATCTAGCAAAGAGTTGTCTTGTAGTCCGTTTCGTGTTCTAGCTAGCTAGTTCCTTGTGTTCGTGAAGGACGTTTAGGCTGTAATACGTACTGTTATATATATATATATATATATATTATCCATATATAATTAGCTCAATAATTCTAGTATGAACAGTAAGTTCATTGGTGCTTTGTTCTTAATCGCAATGATTAATTAGTGTAATTAGTTACTATTACCATAGAAGTTCGAGATTAGGTTATAAAATTAGTTATGGTTGATACGTAATATTATTTTAAAAATAACATATAGATCTAGTGTATTACAAGAAGTGATAACTTGTAAATAAAAACGGTGGAAGTATCATTTATAAATTATATCCTTGTCCTAAGGGATGGTTTTTCATTATTTATGGTTAGATAAGAACTCTCCATGCTTCTAACTAAGTCAAAATCAAACATATCAAGCATGGTTGCTTATATTAATGTTGATGGACCGACAAATTGATGACACACAAGCTATACCTAACTATTAGTTCCGTGTTTTGTGTGTGTGTGTGTGTGTGTGTGTGTGTTTTTTTTTTTTTTAAGTATTATGTTAAGTTGAAGCATGGAAGATGATGACATCAGATGTAAAAAAATAAGGTTCACGGGTGGGCATCGTTTATGCAAATAATAGGGACCATTTAAATTCTCGAAGTCAAATATCAAATTCCGAGTACCAAAGTTGTATTATGGAGTACGATTTTATTTTTTTAACGTAATTCCTTCATTAAAATAATTTTAGATAAAATCATACATATTAATAAAACTTATTAAATATATTTTACAACTTTATTTTTTTAAAAAAAGTAAAAATATAAACTTTTCAAAAAGCCATTCATTTAATACTATATATTATAATATTAAAATTTAATACTATATATTATAATATTAAAAAATTATTATTATTGAAATGTTATTTTTTTCAAAGTATTATATTTTGAAACGTTTGAAAGTGTTTTATATAAATTGCCACTGAGGGAATATTTTTTAAGAATTCAAAAAAATATTGAAAATAAGAAGTCAAAAAAAAAAAAACGGGAAAATCACAATACGTTAAAAAAATTTCTTACAACTGGCAAACGTGGATCGAGGGTCATTTTCTTCACTCTCAAAGAAAAATACTTCACCGGCACGTTTTGATTTCGTACACGCTGAATTCGCTAAACGAAACACTACCTCTAGGTATGAGAATATTTTGAGCTCAGTCAGCCTAAGATGTTCCAAAGTGTACGCGCATGTCACAGATTGTCGGTTTAATTAGCTTGTTTTTCCATCTGTTTCAGAATTCAAATCAAACATGTTATCAGAATATATTTTATTGGTTACACACAAACACATATTTCTACCAAATATTGCCAAAGATTTAAGCTTGTATTAAATAGCTATTGTTTATATTATCATTTCAGATACACGAGGAGGAGTTAAATCTGAAATTTCTAATAGAAGCTATTTATAAATGATTAAAAGAGATTTTCCCCTTACAGCTCATTGGTTAATTAATTACTCAGTTTAAAGTTTAATCCAACCTTATCACAACTATATAGGTACATGATATTACTGAATATTAATATCGAAGAGGCACGTATTAGCAGTTTTAATTTTTAGTCAACCCTAAATCATCATTATTGTGTATGTCTAGTGGCCCGATCAAGAAACTCCATCCCCCTTAAACAATGTAAAAAGTTCAAATATTTTGAATGAAAAAAAAATTTGTTAGGAAAATGTATAGTAATTAGATTTTATAATGTTCAAAACACAATCCAATCTTATTGGATATAAAATAACTTAAAAGACTCCCACATCAGAAAGCTTTATAAATGAAGTGGGGTTTTTAATAAGTTAGAGAGATTCTTCCTTTAAACTTATATTTATAACACTGGTGCCTTTCCCGGCTACTCATGGAGGGTTCTACTTGTGCTCATATATCGGTCATGAATTTAGACAAAGTGAGAAATTTTTCAAACCTGATATGATCCCACTGTTGTAATTTTTTTCTTTTTCGTTAGAAATTTGAGATATTCATAACATGGAAAATCTTTACTTTTGCGTAAAGCTTCACATGAAAGTGAACAGCGAATTCGTTCTTTCTATCTTTTTCAATCGTGACAAGCATGTTTGTTCGTCCTGGTTCACGGGATAAACAGTAATATTGCTAAAATCCAGTTATGTTCCCACAAGTTTCAATATATCAATCAATATATCCCCTCATCAGACAACAAAGAAATAAAAAGTAGTTCGATCTATTCCTAATGTCTTAAATATATGTAATATTCCAAAAACAAAACGACATGCTACATAATCATTTTGTTATAGGCATGCTCCATCATACACTTGAAAAGGGAAATACAGACCCAGTTGAAGACCATATACATATATAAACAATATTGACTCTTTATCATTCATCCTTTTCCACTTTGATTTACTTGTTAAATTATTTTATCAACGTAATCGAATCACGTCTTGTGAGCAGAAATATTACTAAGACCGATATGGAAAAAGATCTTATTTCGGACAAATAACCACATGAAATTGAAATTTGCCTTCAGATTCTTTTACGTTGACATGATATATATACTTATATATATAAATATATATATGACCCCTTTTTGCTCCCCTTGTGCGAGTTTGGTATCCTGAGTCTGCCCTATGACAAGCTAATTAAGGGGACTTAATGGAAGCTCAGACTAAATCTAGATCGTCGAGCATTGCATCACTTTTAGGTGACAAGCTCTACCGCCAAATATATATATGTATGTATATATATATATTTATATAGCTAGATTGTATCAGACATATATCTTTGTACAATTTCTTTTTATATTAGTCATACTCAATGCCGTGAAAATTTTTGCACAGATGCTACAGGTAGCTGGCAGCTGGTTATTGGTTTTCGTGCTTTCTTTCTTTATTTAATTTAGAAAAAATATTTTATTTACTGATTTTATTCTTCATGTTGGACTGGAGGACAAGAGAAGAAGACTACAGGATTGGCCCAGGTGAAAACTGCATAGTAGTGAAATGGAGACAAAATAAAAACTAAAACACATATAACACTACAAATATCGAGAACAAATTATGATAAGAAGAATCTGTGATCTCAAGCACTATAATTTTCATGTCTCCTTCCCCTTGCAAATTCACGCAAGTGGTAAATACAGGGAGATTAATTATTCACTATAAAATCAATCACCATGCACACAAAAAATAACCAAGAACCACAAACGAGGCGTTTACAATAATAAAAGTTACATAAATGATCTTCGTCATCATAATGTTCAGACTAGAAAACATAAAGTCGAAAACCAAATGAAAAGAAGGCCACATCATCATCATCATCAAACTAATGTACGTGTATACTTATCAGGCACATTTGAAACCACGAGGAACGTTGCGAGAGCAAACATTGAGAAGCAAGCTAAGTGAGATAGGAATGTTGAGGTTGATGCCCAAAATGTTAGCTTTAAGGGCAGTACAGAGGCAAACGGCAGCTTCCAGGTCAGCAAGACCTTGAATCAAAGAGCAGCAAGGGGTCACTGGTGGCTTTCCAAGGGTTACATTAAGCAAACCGTTCAACACATTAGCACACACCCCTAGTTTTAGGGCATCACGAGGGCATGTCCCACTGCCGCCGAACGGGCTAGGGTTCGGGTTAGGGTTGGGTCGTGGCCTCGGGTTAGGGTTGGGTCTCGGGTTTGGGTAACCCCCGCATGAGCCACATGCAGTGACAAATGAGAAGAAGAGGAGGTTGAGAACAAGGAAAAGAGCAAAAGAAGAAGTTTTGGAAGCCATGGAGAATTATAAGCACTTTATAGAGATAATCACAAAGTGCTTATGATGAGAAGACTGTTTGTGAAGATGGAGTTATTTGAAGCGATGGGAGGGTTTATATAGTGAGGATATGACATGAAGAAAAATATTAAAAAAATTGAACGGAAAATTAGGGCATCAAGAGGACCGATTTATTGAGGAACCATGTGTGAACTAGGAACTTTTAGCTGGCACGGGAAGCTGATAATTTGGCAGAATTTTGGATGATAGTGACGAATCGACTGACATGTTGCCACATTGAACTGTGGGTCGAATTAAATTTTACACTGGCCAATTGTGAGATATTCGATTCCTCTGGAGAAAACTAAATGGAATTATTACAGTACTTCTAGTTTTTTTTCAAAGAAGCTTTTGCATGTGGACTTGTGCACTGTACGTAAGAGCCCATGTGATTGAAATTAGACATTTCAATATTAAGGTTTCTATTTTCCTCAATTAGATCTAACTTTCCGTCTATTATATTTTCAGATGTAAATTTGATTAAAATCTACTGTCTCTGGTGCTATCTATATGTGTATACACTCCTTCGTTTCAGTATCATGAAACAATTTTTTTAAAAAAAAATCATGTTAAAATTATAAGACACATTTAGATTTTTCAATATATAATTAATGAAATTAAAAAAAGCCCTTAATTTGAGGCGCAACTAATTAATAAAGTTTTTTAATTGAGACATTCTATTAAATAAAAATAAATATAAAAAATATGTGTAATTTTAACTTATTGAGAGTATGAATTAATTCTGAACGAAGGTAGTAAATCACTTTTAATTACCTCACTGAAACCAAGAAATAATTAAATTATTAATATGTTTTCTAAAAAAAATTCTCAGTTTACTCTTATTAAATGCATTATCTTTAAAAATATGTTTTTATCTTATATTTAATTTTTATTTTATTCATGTAAAAATTCATAGAAGGTGACTTATATATAATATTTGATGGAGTACTATCTCTCTTGAACTTAATTTCTCTCTGAAATTTTTGTAAAGTTTAAAGTAATGATGAGTTGAATATGGATAACTCAATAAGTTAGATCATTATACAAAGCACTTACAAAATATCTAATAATAAAACATCTTATATTCCGAAATTCAAGCTCATATTATATGCTTTTGGAAAGTATGAATCATATCATTATCAATAAGTTGATTAGCTTTCTACAACCAAGGTGCTATACTTTCTTTGTCAAAGAGAAAAGAAAGCACTTATTGTGGCAGGACACGGAAGCCTCCTTTGGAACAGGACTCTTTTGTTTGACAATCGGACCCTCCACTATAACAATTCAAACAAAATAATCATAAAAGGACCCATCAAAGATTGTTCAGTTGATAAGAATTTTATTCATAATTTATAAAATTATAGGTTCAAATTCAGCGCCGCTGTGAGAATGTTTATTGATGATGATCTACAAGTACCTTTATAATGCTCAACACTAGTGAGTTTGGGACGCAATTCAACTAATTTCTTTTAAATAATCAATGAGAGATAGTCCAGTGATTTTTCTTTCTTTTTTTTTTGTGTTTCACATTTGGGTTATGTATGTATTATATTGTTTTTGGTTATTGAATTTTAATTCTTCAATTTGAAAATGACTTTCAGTTTTTTCACCGCTTCGACATTTTTGTTGGTGTATTGCATCGTTTGCACAATTTTCTGCTAGAGAGATGAAATGAGGATCGGGTAATTAATATTATTGAATTAATCCAAAGAAAAATGTTAAGGTTTTGATCGTTTCTAACAAGATCATAAAACAAAACCCTTCAATATATTTAATCCTTTTAGTCTATTTGGTGTTAACTAATATATTGTTTACTTCGCTCTCTAATTGATAGTGTTCCCTTTTTATTTGGTAGTCATTAACGTAATATTTGTTAATCACATTCATTCGCATCATCTTAGTATTCATGTATTTGTCGTGTTTCCTTTCGAATAAGGAAATTAAACCTCAAGAAGGCATATGCGCTATAAATAGACATTAATGAAAAATATATGGTTTCACGGGAGATTTTTGACTTTGATCTACGAGTAGTACTCAAAATTAGAGTTCGATTTTATAAAACAAGGAAATTAATCATTCAAAAAATTACGTTTCAGCCATCATACACGCATGCGATGAATCAATGAAATTAATTACAAAGCTTCAAGAACTCCACGTGCACTGGCACTTGTCGAGTACTTTATTTACCATGGAAAATGAAATCGGGCGCAGGGGGTCTCCTTATTTTTGTTTCTCCTTTCCCTCTCCATTTCCCCTGATCCGACCGTTCAACTTATATGTTCTTATCTGGCGCTCCACAGCGCACCACCTGCCATTCAATATTCTGTCTGTGTTGACAATTTATTCTCAACTGGTTTCGGCACTTTTTTATTTAAAAAAAAACGCACAGCATTATTTGTAAAAATAAATGATATTATATTTTTTCAAACTATTTAAATTAAAATCCAATGATAAAAAACTATTTAAATTAAAATCTTACTTTTTTTACTATGAATTTAATTATTAAATACTTTTCATCTTTATTGTATTATTTACAAATAAAAATATTAATATATATAAATATTTATTGGGTTCAAAATCATTTTTCTCCTTAAACTTTTTTTAGGACCACTAAATGCACCCAATATTAAATGACAGGGTAATATCCTCTATATAAGTTTTTTTAGTATGCAAAATTATCCTTCCATTATAAACAAGTTATCTTTTTTATTATTTATTGACATGGAATAATTGCGGGATTGTTACATAGTGGCAACGATGTATTATGACCCATTTTGTCCATTTGACACAAGTTAAAGCGGTTAAAAGTGTGATCGCAGTGATAGGAATCACTCTTGAAATTAGTAATGAAATAGTGGCAAAATTGATCAAAATGCTTCGTTGTCATTGTGTGAGATCTCATAATTATTTCACTTTAGTAGATACAGAGAAAATGATGGGTGTATAATGAAAGGTCAACTTTATTCTTGAAAAAATTCTTCAAGGAAATATTGCCCTTATATTCAGTACATAGTGCATAGCATTTCTTAAAATAATTAGGAAGAAAAATAATCTTTAACCCATATTTATTTATAAAACATTTAAATATTTATTTCTATCAAAATATGTGTATGTATAAATATATTATTTTAATAATTTTACTCAGAGACATAACAAGGTTGATTTAAAATTCTGAAAAGCATATAAAAATTGATTTTTCTCTCCAAGACAGTTTCTAAAATATTAATATTTTTTACTCAAACAGTACTTACTCACCGAAACAATGTTTTCCCATTTTTAACAATAAAGATAAAAAATTATTTAATAATTAAATTCATAATAATTTTAATTTAAAATAAAAGAATAAAATTTTAATTTAAATTAATTTGAAAAAAAATATAATAGCATTTATTTTTACATATAATTCCGTGTTTTTTAATAAAAAAAGTACCAAAACCAGTTGAAAGTAAATTGTATTGGCAGACAAAATATTGAATGGCATGTGGTGTCATGGGGCGTCAGATAAGAACGTACAAATTGAATGGTCAGATCAGGGGAAATGGAGAGTTAAAGAAGAAACAAAGAAAAGGAGACACCCTGCGCCCGATGAAATCCTGGTTTAAGAAAATTTCTGCAGGAACAGTGACATTTAAGTTTAAAAGAATGAATCAGTGAGGATTAAATTTTTTTAGGAAAACTTTAGTAATTTACCATCTCCTGTTTAGAAAATGCTCATTGGTGTGGCTATCATTACCAATGATGATTTCACATATATTTTGAAGATACCTTAAATATATTTGTTAACGCAACTGTATTATATTTAAAAATTAAATTTTTTAATCTACAATAAGATTACTGAATTTGTAATTATTTAAATTAATAATTATAATTTATTTAAAAAATGATTGAAAATTTAATTATCATTCAGTCATTTGTATCTTAGCTTTTTTTTTTTTTTCTATAATCACAATTATTATTAATCAATTAATAATTAATACTGGTGAAAAGAGTCACGGGCTTCATCAATGTCGGGGTCCACCAAAACCTGATTCCGCTGACGGATGAATATCGAGGGTTTTTGGAACCAGTGTGCCCTCAGCTTTCTCCTTTTATTATTATTATATTGGCACCGCGTGGAGCCATCTAAAATCCACCCATATGACAATAGTGATAAATAATTAAATGTAGTTGTAATATTTATAATGGAGATCAAGGTCACAAACAACCAAAGATGGATGAACACAATTGCGTGTTTCCAATAATGATTTATTTTTCATCATCTTGTGTCCAAAATGTCATTTCAAATAAGGTTCTTATCATGACAATCGGTGGTTTTCCGCTAGAAAAGTAGAAATCTGTTGACTCCCTGAATTTCTGGATGGTCCACATATTTGACATATCAGTTAACAGAAATATGAAATTCATGCAGCGTATAAATAATAAGATAAATTAGTCCACTAACTCAAAAAAAATTCTTATATCTAAAAAATATGTATTATATTTTTAAAAATTTAAGAGTGTAATTGATTCATATTGATATATAAAAAATTTATTATTAAAAATTTAAAATTTTATAAAAAATTTATTATTGATATACAATAATATATATAATAAATTAGTTATAATATAAAATATAATAAATGTTAGTTTATATATTTGGTTTAATCTTATAATGTAGGCTATATTTACAAAAACTTTATAATAATATAGATATAGATATTTTGAAAATTTTATATCATACATATGAGGATCGTCACACATTATAATTTAGCTTTCCTTCTTTCTTTTATTTACAATGATCTCTCTCTTATTTTTTTTTCCAATTCTTCAATATATTTCTTTTAAGTAAGTCATACACTCTCTGAATTAGTATTTATCCCGTACACAGGGGAAAAAAAATCTAGCCTCATGAAATATATGATTTATAGTACGTTGTACGATTTATAAGGTTCGAATATTGTAACTTATCTTATCCTGGTTAAAAAAAGAATATTGTAACCTATTAGAATTTGTTTAATCTATGAGAGTTCATAGAGAGAACATTTGTATTGC